CAAGGGGTCACAAGACCAGTCAAGCAAAGCAAGGCAAGCTCAGGGTGGATCACAACGCCACCACACAGTCCGAGCACAAGAGCAAGGCCACAAGGCCAGTTCACATGCAAGATCATATATATAAAGGTAAACAAGCAAGTGCAGGCATAGAAAGAGCACAGTACAAACAAGGTCAAGAAGTGAGCAAGTGAGGCCAAGTAGGCACAAGAGCTAGCATAGCACAGAAGCGCTGATGATCACAAGGCGGAAGGGCCTTGGTAAAGATATCAGCAGCGTTGGCCTCAGAGGCCACGTAGGTGAGGCGGAGCTCACCACGCTGCTCCAGCTCACGAGCCAGGAAGTAGCGAAGAGCAATGTGCTTCATTCTGTGCTCCAGTCTGTGCTCCTGATACAAGGCCAGCATGGCCTTGTTGTCTACGTACGGCACTGGAGGAGAACGAGGCGGCTCTCCTAGGTCAGTCAGCAGGTAGGTGAGCCAGCGTAGCTCCTGTGCAGCCATGGCCCCCGCGTAGATCGCAGCCTCACAGCTGGAGGTGAGAACAGAAGACGAGCGGGTAGACCGCCACGAAATAGAGCCGGAACCAAGGCTGAAGGTATAACCCTGTGACGACCGCTGTGTTGGCTGGTCGTCAGCCCAAGAAGCGTCTGCGTGACCTGTGAGGACCACTCGACGTCGCCCTCCAAGCACTAGCCCCATGCCCGACGTAATGCACACGTAGCACAACACCCTCTTCGTTGCAGCCATGTGCTCAGGACGGTGTCTCCTAGGAGCAACATAGCGTGCCAAGATGCTAAGAGGGTATGCCAGGTCGTGTGCAGGTCATCAGGTACATGAGGCAGCCAACAAGCTCTGGGTACGGACCACTCAGCTCTACCGACTCATCCGAAGGCAGAGCTGAGAGTGAGTGGCGAGTAGGCAGAGGAGTGGCCTGAGGCGAGGAGTACGTGAAGTCGAAGCGCTGAAGGACCTGCTGCACCATGTGTGACTGAGTCAGGGTAATGGTGCGGCGTGCTCTGTCCCGGGTGATCTGCAAGCCAAGGTAGCTACGCAGTTCACCCAAGTCTGTGCACGTGTGTCTCTTCTGCAGCTCAGACTTCACGTGGGCGAGTCCAGCAGTGTCAGCAGTGGCAAAGACCAAGTCGTCGACGTACACGAGGATGTAGAACGGCTGCAAAGAGGTGTCGGTGCGCAGAAACAGCGACGGGTCAGCTGTAGAAGGAGCAAACCCAAGAGCCGCAAGTGTAGTCCTAAGTGTATCGTGCCACTCACGGGGCGCCTGCCGGAGACCATAGACTGGCCGCCGGAGGCTCCACTGGGTACCAAGAGGAAACGACCCAGTGAAACCAGGTGGGCGGCGCAGCCAGATCTCCTCGTGCAGGCTGCCCTGCAGGAAAGCAGTGCTCAAGTCAAGAGAGTGAAGCTCGTAGTCGCGCTGAGCAGCTATGTGCAACAGCACCCGAAGAGTGGTCATCTTCGGGGTGGGAGAGAAGGTATGAAAGTAGTCAACTCCCTGCCACTGACTGAAGCCTCGAGCCACGTAACGCGCCTTGAAGACAGGCGGAGAACCCGGCGGCCGCTTCACCCTGAAAATCCACATGCCATTGATGATGTTCGCCCTAGGTGGGGGAGCCTCGTCGACGTAGGTGCCTGTGGACTTCCAGGAAGCCATCTCATCATCCATGGCTGACTGCCACTGAGAGGAGTAGGGACCCTCGATAGCCTCAGCGTACGATCGAGGAGTCGGGATGTCTGGTGCATCCAGGTCTCCCCCAGGGGCAATCAGCTTGGACACGAGATGAGGCAAAGTAGCAGCAAAACACTGGAACTCCTCGTGCCTGTCCTCAAGGACGTCCGTGCTAAGAGCACACCCACCCCCGACAGACGGAGGACAGATAGACTCGGACTCAGCAACAAGACTAGTGGCGTAGTCTAGACGACAGCGAGCAGCGAAGTCGACAAGCTCAACCACTAACCCAGACGCAGCAGTGGACTCAAAGGAAGGGTAGGTGACAACAGTGGCCAGGAGACGCGTGACAGTAGGACAGGCAGCACGAAGAGAGTCAGACTCAAGGTCAGCAAGGACAGGAAGAGAGGACTCTGCAGGAGACGGCAACGGGACATGCAAAGGAGCAGTGGAAGGACGCAGTGCCATCTGGTGTGTGCTCGAGACCGCAGGAGGACGCAAACGCGGACCACGACGACTAGTGCGAGCAGTGCAAACAGGCGACGCAGGATGAGAAGCAGGCTCACGACGCTCAGCAAGACCTCTAGTAGGACCAGTGTAGGGAGAAGGAGCAGGTAGAGGGGAGGCGGGCTGTAACTGCGACTGGACAGGCTGTGGACACTCTCAGGGAGGAGCAGGACCAGTAGAAGGCGGGAGACCAAGAACCTGCTCAAGGAGCGGAACAAAGTACGGCCGCAGCCGCTCAGCGCCTCCAGAACCAGCAGGGACAGCAAAAGGACCCCTAGCGGCAACATCCACGCCAGCAGTACCTCCAGCTCCAACGGCGCCAACTCCAGCACCCTCAGACGCACCAGCGCCAGTGGAACCCCCAGCGCCAACACCCCCAGCAGCTCCTGCTCCAGCAGCTCCAGCAGCACCAACTCCAGTAGCACCGGCAGCTCCAGTACCGCCAGCAGCTCCAGCAGAACCAGCTCCAGAAGTCCCAGCAGCACACCCAGGCCTAGCAGCTCCCGCACCGCCAGTACGAGCACCTCTGGGACCAGTAGCAACAGTAGTACCTCCAGCTCTAGCAGCACGGCTCTAGCGCCGGGCAAACCACTCGCGCAGCTCCTGTGGAGAGAGTGGCTCCCGCCTCGACGAAGAACTGCCGGCGGCCACACGAGCAGACCCAGCGCCCCCAAGCTCCGCACCCCCAGGCTCCGCACCCCCACGCTCAGCACCGCCAGACTCAACACCCCCAGACTCAGCACCCCCAGTCTCAGCACCCCCAGACTCAGCACCCCCAGGCTCAGCACCCCCAGACCCGGCACCCGCAGGCTCAGCACCTCTAGCACCAGCAGAGTCAACAGCTACCTCGACAGGCTTGACTGCGTCTACCTGGGACACACCTGACGGTGCAGGACCCTGGGGGGGGAGAGGGTCTACCGGAGGAGGACTTGGTGCAAGGAAGAGCGGCGGCGGGGGAAGGGGCGCAGTGCGGTAGGGGAAGAGACGGTAGTAAGGCACCGACTCGTCAAAGGTGACGTCCTGGGAGGACAAAACACGGCGCAAGGTGGGGTGGTAAAACTGCCAACCAGGCGCGTCAGGGGGGAAGCCAAGGAAGACGCAGGGAACAGCACGGGGGGACAGCTTGTCCGCAAACAAGTCGCGGACAAACGCCCGAGTTCCCCAGACCCGAAACGCAGACGCATCACCAGATTAATTGGTGCACCTCCAGGATATGTAGGTTATGAACAAGGTGGCGCTCTGACTGAAAGTGTTAGAAGAAGGCCATATCAGGTAATTCTGTTTGATGAGATAGAAAAAGCTCACCCTGATATATTTAACATAATGCTACAAATCTTGGATGAGGGAAGATTAACCGATAGCCAAGGTAATTTAGTAGATTTTAAGAATACTTTGATTATCCTTACTTCCAATTTGGGTGCTGAAGTATTAGTTAATCAAAAAGAAGGGGAAGATACAGAACTCCTACGCGGGCAAGTAATGAATTATGTAAATGCCGCATTTAGGCCTGAATTCTTAAATAGATTAGATGAAATTATTCTGTTCCACCGGTTAAATAGAACTCATATGGGTGATATTGTTAAAATCCAGCTGGGCATATTGAAGAAAGTCTTGGCCGCTCAGCATATAGACCTTAAATATGATGATCTAGTTATTAAATGGCTAGCAGATAAAGGATATGATCCGGCCTTTGGCGCTAGACCCTTAAAAAGAGTTATTCAGCGAGAAGTTCAAAATAATCTAGCAAAACTCATTTTGGCTGGAAAATTCTCTAGTGGCGATACTATTCATTTAACTGAAAAAGACGGTCTAGGGCACCTGGAGATCTTTAAGTAGCTTTCTAGCTTAAAATGGTAAATCCCAGTAGAAAAAGGTAATAGTATATAAAACTTGTTTATGTAAACATTCATTCAGCTAATTACTCATTTAGCTTCGATAGGGTTTTCGTTCACTAATGCTTGTACTAGGGCTGAATCTAAATACGCTCTAACATGGACAATAACCTCATTTTCAAATTTTACTAGCCAGCAATACGTATTGTTAAATGGTCTACCGTTAATAGAATAAGATAGCTGAACCATTTCCACTATGACTATTGGCGTATCTTCGGCTATCAAAATGTTACTTACCTTTAACACTGGACCACCCTTTAAAAGTTTTTTTAAGCGTACAAAGGTATGATCAAGGAACTCTTGCTTTCCATGATAAACTCCAGCTAGTGGATGGGTACCCATTACCTCCCATAACACATTTGGTGCAACTTGTGAAAAGAATTGATCCTGATGCCCATTTTCCAAGTTTCTGAATAATTTCTCTACAAATTGCTTAGAAGTAGAATGGACAGCTATGAAGTAGAATGGACAGCTATGAATTTTCTAGAATTGATCCTGATGCCCATTTTCCAAGTTTCTGAATAATTTCTCTACAAATTGCTTAGACCGCTATGGACAGCTTACTGAACGAGCAGGGACCCGTACCCCCACCGCGCTGTCGTGCAACATACCACTCACGAAGCTGCTGAGGGGACAAGGTCTCACGACTGCGCTACTGCTGCTGGCGCGTACCTCCACCGGAGCCACTCCTCTGCGCAGAGCTGCGACCAGGTCCACTGCTGCCGCCGCCGCCTCCGCCACCTCCGCTGCCTCCGCCGCCTCCACCACCTCCGCCGCCTCCGCTCCCTCCACCTCCGCCGCCGCCTCCTCCACCTCCACTGCTGCCACTGACACCTCCACCCCCGCCACCACCCCCACCACCAACCCCACCCCCTCGACTGCCTCCACCACCACCTCCACCGCCCTTGCTAGCCCCTTAAGCGCCCTTGCTCCCCTTGCCCTTGCCGGTGCGGCGTCTCCCGCTCGGGGCTGACGCAGCGCCGACCGACTCGAAACCAACGAGGTCGGCCGCAGCAGCAGAGGCAACAGAGGGCAAGAGGGGGGAGGGGGAACACCCCTCAAAGACGGGGGTGCGAGGGTCACCACGAGAGGCTCCTACAGCGACTATGCTCTTCTCTGCTGCTAGGAGGGCTTTCTCGAGGAGGTCAACGGTGAGAGTGGTGGGGCAAACAGAGAGGAAGTGGTCCCTGACTACGCGGAGAGATTCAGGGAGCCGGGTGACTATGTAGTAGAGGGTGATGAACATGGGGGGGGGGGGGGGGTTCTTGGCGCAGAACTCAGCAGGAAGCGCAGCGCGGTACCGAGTGTCACTAGTGCGCAGGTGCGTAATGAGGTCAACGACTGTGGGAAAGGCAGCAAGGTCAGGGAAGAGGTACGGTAGCATGAGGCGGCTCAGTGCAGCAGTGGCAAGGGAAGAGTAGCGCGCAACTACAGCGTCGTACAAGATCTGAGCACTCTTGTACTGGCTAAAGTGTGCACTGTCAGAATGTTATCTTATGCTCTAGCCTGTAGTGGGGTGCTCTATAGCGAGTACAACCCTTCTAGGGTTTGCTATTTGTATCCCCATTCTTGCTAGTGCAGTCCTCTTCTTTCTTCTAAACTTTCACATGCACGCTCAGTGGTCGGTAAGTGGCGACGCACAGCGAGGTGAGCAGCAGCATCGCGTGTGGCCCACTGTGAGCGAACAGTGCTGTCAGCAGTAGCAGGCGGGGCAGGAGAGGCACCAGAGGTGAGATCGAAAAGAGAGAGTCCGTCTGCCCTATCGCACTGGAGAAACAGTTGGAGGTCATCGACCCAGACCTCAAAGTCAACGGCACGGCCCTCAGCATCAAAAGTAAGGACACTTGGGGTAGCCATGACTGCAGTGGCCTAGTAGGGAGTGAGCTCACCAGTCCGAGGAAGGAGGGCCGGGGCGCACCGGTAGGAACAGCAGCAGCTCGACAGTAGGGCGGCTCGGCGGCAGGGCGGCTCAGCTGCTGGGCGGCTCGGCTGCTAGGCGGCTCGGGGGCTTGGCGGCTCGGCTGCTGGGCTGCTCGTCTACTGGGCGGCTCGGCTGCTGGGCGGCTTGGCTGCTGGGCAGCTCGGCTGCTGGGCGGCTCGGCTACTGGGCGGCTCGGCTGCTGGGCGGCTCGGATGCTCGGCAGGTGGGCGGCTCGGCTGCTGGGCTGCTCGGCGGCTCGGACGCTGGGCAGCTGAGCGGTGACAAGGCCGCTAGGGGAGGGCGACGGGGCCGCAGGTGACGGCGACGGGGCCGCAGGTGGCGGTGATGGGGCCGCAGATGGCGGCGACGGGGCCGTAGGTGGCGGCGGGGCCGCAGGTGGCGGCTGCGTGGCCGCAGGTGGCGGCGACGGGGCCGCAGGTGGCGGCGACGAGGCCGCAGGTGGAGGCGACGGGGCTGCAGGTGGCGGCGACGGGGCCGCAGGTGGCGGCGACGGGGCCGCTGGTGACAGCGACGGGGCCGCAGGTGGCGGCGACGGGGCCGCAGGTGGCGGCAACGGGGTCTCAGAGGGGCCGCAGTGGGCCTAGACGGGGCCGCAGAGGGGCCGCAAGGGGCCTAGACGGGGCCGAAGAGGGGCCGCAAGGGGCCGTAAGGGGCCGGAAAGGGCGCCGCGAGGGGCCGAAAGGGGGCCGCGCGAGGGCCGTAAGAGCGGCAAGAGGGGCCGTAAGGGGCCGTAATGGCAGCGCGAGGGGCTGTAAGGGGCCGTAAGGGCGGTGCGAGGGGCCGTAGAGGGCGGCGCGAGTGGCCGTAAGGGCGGCCAAAGGGGCCATGAGAGGGGCCACTAAGGGCGGCTCGAAGGTAGGGAGGGCACACAGAGCGCGACTCGGGCAGGAGTGAAGCGCGCTCCGGGCAGGAAAAAAAAAATATATCGTGGTGGGCCCTAGGTAGCGTTCCCACTAGGGAACCTGCTCGATACCATGATAAGAAACGAGAATGAATGCATTGAGCAAAATGAGGAGTACAAGTAGTAAACCCTAAAATGTTGTACCCCATATGAACTGCCCCACTACAGCCTACACAGACTAAAGCATATATGCCTGACAGACTTTTCCTCCGACCTTCTGCGAGCCTTATGTCGTGCGGAGGGCATCCGCCAGAGGTTCACGCTTCCGGCCTCTCCGCAACAAAATGGGATTGCTGAGCGCCGCATTGGCATGGTCATGGATGTCGCTCGTACGTCCATGATCCATGCAGCTGCTCCCCATTCTCTGTGGCCTTTCGTGGTTCAGTACGCGGCGCATCAGCTCAACCTCCAGCCCCGGGTCTCCATGCCGGAGACCCCACCTACTTTGCGGTTGACGAGGAAGGTGGGCGATGCGTCTGCGTTCCGTGTCTGGGGATCTCGAGCTTTCGTCCGCGACTTGTCTGCAGAGAAGCTGTCCTCCCGTGGTGTTCCCTGCATCTACCTTGGGTTCCCCACTGACGCGCCTGGTTGGCAGTTTTACCACCCCACCTCGCGCCGTGTTCTGTCCTCTCAGGACATCACGTTTGACGAGTCAGTTCCTTACTACCGTCTCTTCCCCTAACGCACTGCCCCCCTCCCCCCCCACCCGCCGCTCTTCCTCGCGCCAGGTCCTCCCCCGGTAGACCAGGGTCCTGCCTCCTCAGGTGTGTCCCAGGTAGACGCAGTCGAGCCTGTCGAGGTAGCTGTTGACTCTGGTGTTGCTAGGGGTATTGAGCCTGCGGGTGTTGGGTCTGGGGGTGCTGAGCCTTAGCGTGCGAAGCCTGGGGGTGCTGAGTCTGGGGTTGCTGAGCCTGGGGGTGCTGAGTCTGGGGGTGGTGAGCTTGGGGGTGCTGAGTCTGTGGGTGCTGAGCGTGGGGTTGCTAAGTTTGGGGGTGCGGAGGCTGTGAGGCTGGGCCTTCTCGTGTAGAGTCTGGCGGTGCTGAGCCTGGAAGTCCTTCGGGTGCTTCGTCCTGGCGGGAGCCACTCTCTTCACAGCAGTTGCGCGAGTGGTTTGCTTGGCGCTGGAGCCATGCTGCTGGAGCTGGTGGTTTTTCGGGCGCTGGAGGCCCTGCTGCTGCTGGAGGTCCTGCTGCTGCTGGAGTTGCTGGAGGTTTTGGGCCGGAGGTGCTCGTACTGGAGGTACTGGAGTTGCTGGGCCTGGTGGTGCTGCTGGAGCTGGAGCTGCTGGAGGTGCTGGAGCTGGCGGTGCTGCTGGGGCAGGTGCTGCTCAAGGTACTGGAGCTAGAGCTGCTGGCGCTGCTGGGGCTTCTGATGGTCCTGCTGGAGCTTGAGGTGCTGGAGGTGCTAGAGTTGGAGGTGCTGCTAAAGCCAGTGCTCCTGTGGGTGCTGGAGTTGGCGCTTTTGGTGCTGCTGGAGGTGCTGGTGGAGCTGGTGGTGCTGCTAGAGTTGGAGCTGCCACTAGGGGTGCAAGTTCTGTCCCTGCTGGTACTGGAGGTACTGCGCGGCCGCGGACGTACTACGTTCCGCTCTTTCAGCAGGTTCTTGGTCTTCAGCCTTCTACTGGTCCTGCTCCTTCTCTAGGGTGCCCACCGCTTGTCCAGTCAGAGTAACAGTTACAGCCTACCTCCCAACTGCCTGCTCCTTCTCCTTAGAATGGTCCGACAGGAGGTCCTGCTGAGCGTCGTGAGCCTGCGTCTTGTCCTGCGTCGCTTGTTCGTGCTGCTAGCACTAGTCGTCGTGGTTCGCGTCAGCATCCTCCTCCTGTCCCTGGCACGCACCGGATGGCTCTGCGCTCTTCCACTGCTCCACAGCGTGTCCCTCTGCCGTCTCCTCCTGCGTCCTCTTTCTCCCCATCTAACCCAGATTCAGACTCCCTTCGTGCTGCTAGTCCTACTATCACGCGTCTCCTGGCCACTGTTGTCATTGACCCTTCCTTTGAGTCCACTAGTGCGTCTGCCTTAGTTGCTGAGCTTGTCAACTTTGTTGCTCACTGTCGTCTCAACTACGCCGCTAGTCTTGTTGCTGAGTCTGCGTCTGTCTGTCCTCCGTCCGTCGGGGGTGAGTGTGCTTTTGGCACGGACGTCCTTGCAGATAGGCAAGAGGACTTCGAGTGTTTTGCAGCTGTTGTACCTCATCTTGTGTCCATGCTGATTGCACTTGAGGGAGACCCGGATGCACCAGACATCCCGACCCCGTGCTCTTACGCCGAGGCGATAGAGGGTCCCTACTCCTCTCAGTGGCAGTCAACCATAGATGCAGAGATGGCATCCTGGAAGTCCACAGGCACTTACGTCGACGAGGTTTTCCCTTTCTTGGGCGAACATCGTTAGTGGCATGTGAATTTTCATGGTGAAGCAGCCGCCGGGTTCTCCGCTTGTCTTCCAGGTGCGTTACGTTCCTCGAGGCTTCATTCAGCGACAGGGAGTTGACTTCTTCCAGAGCTTCTCCCCGACCCCGAAGATGACCACTCTTCGGGTTCTGCTGCATGTCGCCGCTCAGCGTGACTACAAGCTTCACTCTCTTGACTTCAGCACTGCTTTCCTACAGGGCAGCCTGCACGAGGAGATTTGGCTGCGCCGCCCACCTGGATTTACTGAGTTGTTTCCTCCTGGTACCCAGTGGAGCCTCCGGCGGCCGGGTTACGGTCTCCGCCAGGCGCCCCGTGAGTGGCACGACACACTGAGGACTACACTTGCGGCTCTTGGGTTTGCTCCTTCTACTGCTGACCCGTCCCTATTTCTGCGCACCGACACTTCGCTGCCGCCGTTCTACATCCTCGTGTACGTTGACGACTTGGTCTTTGCTACTGCTGACACTGGGGGACTCGCCCACGTGAAGTAGGAGCTGCAGAAGAGACACACGTGCACCGACTTGGGTGAACTGCACAGCTATCCTGGCTTGGAGATCACCCACGACAGAGCACGGGGCACCATTGCCTTGACCCAGTCACACATGGTGCAGCAGATGGTGCCGTCAGCATTAGTTTTCAGGCGAAATACCCATTTGTGCTAAGTACCCTCCTCCCTTTCACTGTTGCACGATTGACTAGGACCCATGTGTCTCGAGACTCCAGCGCCTTTAGTTCGGCATTCATTACGGCGCGCCACTCCTTGGCATGAGAGCCGGTTAGGGCCTGGCGAGGATTCGTTGGCTCCACGGCCCGTGCGAGGGTAGTGACGGACGTGTGCAGGCCGAGAAGTTGAAGGTCTGACACATTGGTGGTGTCTGTGTTGGTGGAGACTTCCACCATGTCGTTGTCTCTATTTTCATAGCCGTTCGCTGTGGTGCTTGGTTCTGCTTTGCGCGGTGACGGTCCTGGTGCGGGGTCGTCGTCACTGTCATCGTCGTCATCGTTGTCGCACGGGCGAGGTGGGATGCTGGGGTGTTCGTCGGTGTCGTCGCGGTCCAGTGCTGCTGCTGCTGCTTCGCCTTCTAAAGACGCGAAGCTGCATTCGCTGTTGACGTAACCGCGTGCCTCGTTGCGTCGCTCGTCCTCGATCCACTGCTTCAAGGTGAGTTGCTCGTAGAAGAGAATATCATGCGCGGGAACCACCTCGTTGCTGTCAATGTCAAGAATGAGCCACCCTTTGTGCTCGTGACTGAGCCCCAGATGAATTCCCCAGTGCGCGCGCTGAACGAACTTGCTGATTGTGGCCAAGGTCGCCCGGTACTGCACCATGCACCCCCAAACCCGCAGCATGGACGGGTCTCCCCTTGAGCCGGTCCACTTCATGTGAGGGGACAGGCTGTCCCTGTTGGCGGTGGTGGAGAGAAGGTTGTGCAGGCGCACCGCGTGGTTCATGGCATAGGGCCAAAACTTCTTTGGTAGGCCGGACTGATTCACGAGTGCGTGAACTTTTGTCATGACAGTGCGTTTGACCCTCTCTGCGACGCCTTGCTGCTGGTGAGCGTAGGGGAGAGAAATCTCATGCTTGATTCCCTTCTCGGTAAGAACACTCTCGAGGTTGTTGCTGCAAAATTTCTTGGCCCCATCACTCTGCCAGATCTTTATCTTCCTTCTTGACTGTCGCTGCGCGTGCGCGAGGAAGATGTGGAACACTTTCGGAGCTTTGGAGCGAGCGTCGACGTTGGCGACCCACACATGGCGCGAGTAGGGATTGATGAAGGTGAGAGTATATTTCTCGCCGTTGATGCCGTCAAAGGTGAGCACGATGAAGTCGCTGTACACTTTCTCCAGCTTCTTGTAGCGGTTGGTGCTCGGCTTCAGAGAGGGATAGGCGCTGTGGGAGAGCGCAGCTGTGGGGCAGACTGTGCAAGTGATCGGGTGTGAAGTGTTGTGTGGTTTTGTTCCATTGGGGCGTAACAGTGCTCCTGGCAGAAAAACTTTAGCGCGGAGGCAGTTAGCTAGGGTCTTGCGCAAGGGGTGGCCCAGCCGCTGGTGCCAGAGGTCATCTTCGGCGCGAATGCCGGAGGTGCGCTTGTAGCGAGCGTAGTGTTTCACTTCTTCTGCTTCTGAAGTTGCGGGATCTGGAGTGGGGTTTCTGGTTCATTGTCCGGCTCCTCTGCTTTTGCTTCTGCTTTTGCTGTTGTCTCCCTTTTTGCAGGTGCCGTCGTGAGGTAGAGGGCGAGAAATTCACGGTCGGGGATGATGGTGAGCCGGGTCGTGGTGTCTTCAATGAAGCGAGCGAAGGGATCTGGGCGGGAGATTGGACCAAGTGAGTCCCGCAAAAGAGTTGGTGGTATATTCCCCTCCTCGATCTCCGACCAAGGATCACTCCAGCGATGAGGTGAGCGAGGGGGTTCACGAGTGCGTGGGGGTCGTCCAAGGGGAATGACAACGCGGGGTGATTCTTCTCTGTGCTCAGCTTTTATCTCTCGTTCAGCTTCCTCCTGTTCTTAATTCGTGAGCTCCCCTTCGTCAGGCTCTGCTGTTCCCCATCCTCCGGTGGTGACCGTGCCGCTGGCGCGGGCTCCCCATGCTCCAGTGGCGGATGCCCAGGTAGCGCCTTCTTCCGGCTTATAGTCTTCATCTCCCCATGCTCCTCGTCGTGCTGACTCTTTGTCCCATCCTGCTACGACACGCTCCTCATACAACTTTGTTTCTTTTCTGCTTGGGCCTTTTCTTGTTCTTCCTTGATGCTCAGCTCCCCTTCTGCGTCAAGGTCCTTCCAAGCCGGGTCAATCTCGCGGCAGTAGACTTCGCGAGTGTATGCGCTCGATCATCCTTTTTAGTCAAAGGTGCTGGTTTTGGCTTCTAGGCGAACCGGAACATTTCGGAGTATGGCCATGTTCGCTCCACTCGCTGTTGTCTGAAGTTTTTGTTTGCCTCGCCAAAGATGCGGCAAGATGACACAGCGAGTTCTTCTGCAGCCATGCCTGTTGGTTCCGCCTCGGCGCTCTCTGCCTCCTGAATTGCCGCGTACTCCTTTTTTACTTGCTCTGTGCGGCTCGCGGAGGGTGTGTGACAGGTGTGTCAAATTATAATGTTGTGTAGGCTGTAGTGGGGTAGCCTATATGGGGTACACAATTCTAGGGTTGCATACTTGTATCACTTTCATTCCTTAGTCATTCATTCTCGTTTCTTCTTGTGGTATCGAGCAGGTTCTCTAACGGGAACGATTCCTAGGGCCCACCACTACGAATTTTTTTTTTCCTGCCCGGAGCGCACTCCGCTTAGGCCCGAGTCGCGCCTCGTGTGCTTTCCTTACCGTCACGCCCTCAATAGGCCCCTCACGGCCCCGTCATGTTGCCCTTAGCGGCCCCTCGCGGCCTCGTCGCGCTGCCCTAGCGGTCGCGTCCCGTCGCCCTAACGGCCGCGTCGCGCCACCCTAGCCGCCCTCACGGCCCCCTAGCGGCCTCTTGCGGCCCCGATCCGCCGCCCTTCGCGGCCCGTCGCCGCTCTCCCCCTGCGGCCCCTTGCCGCCCTTTCACCAGCGGCACCGTCGCCGCCCTTGCACGGCCCTGACGCCGCCCTCCCTGCGGCTCTGTCGCCGCCCTCTTCAGCGACCCGTCGCAGCCCTTCTCAGCTGCCCCGCCGTCTCCTTTCAGCGGCCCCGCCACTACCCCTGCAGCGGCCTCGTCGCCGCCCTTTCAGCGGCCCCGCCGCCTCCTTTAAGCGGCCCCGCCGCCTCCTCTTGGCGGCCCCGCCGCCTCCTCTCCGCGGCCCCGCCGCCTCCTCTCGGCGGCCCAGCCGCCTCCTCTCAGCGGCCCCGGACGCCGCCCTCTCAGCGGCCCTTCCGCCGCCTCCTTTGCGGCCCCGCCGAGCCGCCCAGTAGCCGAGCCGCCAAGCCGCCCAGCCGCCGAGCCGCCCAGCAGCCGAGCTGCTGAGCCACCCAGCAGCCGAGCCGCCAAGCCGCCCAGCCGCCCAGCAGCCGAGCCGCTGAGCCGCCGAGCAGCCAAGCCGCCGAGCCGCCCTGCAGCCAAGCCGCCGAGCCGCCCAGCAGCTGAGCCGCCGAGCCGCCGTGCACCCGAGCCGCCAAGCCGCCGAGCAGCCGAGCCGCCGAGCTGCCCAGCAACCGAGCCACCGAGCCGCCCAGCTGCCGAGCCGCCTACCGCCAAGCTGCCGAGCCGCCGAGTCGCCCTGCAGCCAAGCCGCCGCAGCCGCCCTGTCCGGTAAGAGCAGCGCCTCTGTCACTGCACCGCCCTCACCCTAATGTTCGCGCTGCTAGTCTACTACTGTCATGGCTACCCCTAGTGTCCGCGCTTTTGATGCTAAGGGTCGGGCCATTGACTTTGACGTTTGGATAGATGACCTGCAGCATTTCTTACTGTGCGATAGGGCGAACCGTCTCTCTCTCTTTGACCTCACCTCTGGTGCCTCTCCTGCCCCTGCTGCTGATGCAGAGGCCACTGTCCGCTCACAGTGGGCCACGCGCGATGCTGCTGCACGTCTTGCTGTGCGTCGCCACCTGCCTACCTCTGAGCGTGCGCACTTTAGCCAGTACAAGAGTGCTCAGACCTTGTACGACGCTGTAGTTGCACGCTACTCCTCCCCTGCCACTGCTGCACTGAGCCGCCTCATGCTACCGTACCTCTTCCCTGACCTTGCTGCCTTTCCCACAGTCGCTGACCTCATTACGCACCTCCGCACTTGTGACACTCGGTACCGCGCTGCGCTTCCTGCTGAGTTCCGCGCCAAGAACCCCCCCCCCATGTACATCACTCTCTACTACATAGTCACCCGCCTCCTTGACTCCCTTCGCATAGTCAGGGACCACTTTCTCTCAATCTGTCCCACCACTCTCACTGTTGACCTCCTCGAGAAGGCCCTCCTAGCAGCGGAGAAGAGCATAGTCGCTGTAGGAGCCTCTCGTGGTGACCCGCGCACCCCCATCTTTGAGGGGTGTTCCCCCTCCCCCCTTTTGCCCTCTGTAGCCTCTGCTGCTGCGGCCGACCTCGTTGGGCTTGAGTCGGTCAGTGCGGCGTCTACCCCTAGTGGGAGACGCCGCTCTGGCAAGGGCAAGGGAGGCAAGGGCGCTGGAGGAGCTAGCGGGGGCGGTGGAGGCGGCGGTGGAGGCGGCGGAGGGAGTGGGGGTGGCGGTGGGGGTGGTGGCGGGAGTGGAGGTGTCGGTGGCGGTAGTGGAGGCGGAGGCAGCGGCGGTGGCGGTGGGAGCGGAGGTGGCGGGGGCGACGGCGGTGGAGAAGGCGGTGGCGGAGGAGGTGGAGTTGGTCGGGGTGGCGCTGCAAAGAGGGTCGGCTCCGGTGGTGGTCAGCGCCAGCAGCAGCTGCAGCGCACTCGTGACATCCCCCCCCCTCAGCAGCTCCGTGAGTGGTACGCTGCACGCCAGCGGGGTGGGGGTACTGGTCCGTGCACCTACGTCCTACGCACCGGCGACCGCGCGGGTGAGCAGTGTGGGGGTGCGCACCCCACCCAGCGCTACTTTGGCCGCCTGTCGGACGCTTGGCGTCACTAGTTTCCGAAGGCGACGGAGATCCCCCGCTGGGGTGAGCTGTCTAGGGCGGGAGTGGCTATCTTTGATCTTGACTTTGATGCTATTCTTGCTGCCATGTATGCTATGACTATTAGTGATGAGGGTGACTGTTACCGGTGTTTCCCGCCCAACTCGGGAATTGAGACTGCTGCTCTAGGTACTGGTGAGGCTGCTGCTCTAGGTGCTAGCGAGGCTGCTGCTCTAGGTGCTAGTGCGTCGGTTTCCTCAGGTGCTGGTGAGTCAGCGCTCTCAGGTACCGAGTCGGCTTCGGCCTCCCTCACCTTCACCCTTAATTCGGGGGCGTCTTGCTCTTTCTTTTGAGACCACACCGCACTCATGCCGCTTGGTCGGCCAGTTGCGGTCTCTCTGGCAGGCCCCTCTGGGGGTCCTATCCTTGCTCACTTCTCCACTGTCCTCTCGTGTCCAGCGGCTCCCTCTGGCACCCTGTCTGGTCTTTACCTCCCCTCGTTCTCTCTGAACTTGGTGAGTGGTGCTGATCTTTAGGATGGGGGAGTTCACCAATTCACTCGTGCGAGCCAGCGGGTGACCCACTACACGGATGCTCGGACGGGCCGACACTTGGCCACGTTTACACGCCGGCCGGGGTCGAGCCCCTACACACTGACCACTGCGTCTCCTCCTGTCGCTGCGTCTGGTCAGGTAGCTGCATCGAGTCAGGTGTTTGCTGCAGCGTCTAGGTCTGGTCCTGAGTCTGCCCCTTGCTCGTGTCGCCTCCTTTCTCACGAGACTCTCCTTTGGCACCACCGCCTTTGTCACCTCTCCCTGCTTCGTGTCCGAGGCATGGCCTCCCGTGTCCTTGTCTCTGGTCTTCCCCGGTCCCTCCCTCCTCTTCCTCCGGGGCCTGGCCCTACCTGTGTCCCCCGTGTCGAGGGGCGTAAGCGGGCTGCCCCTCACACCTCCCAGTTTCCTCCGACAGAGGCCCCGCTGCAGACGCTTCACATGGACGTGTGGGGCCCGGCCCGCGTCCGTCCACAGGGTCACGAGCGCTACTTCCTGTTGGTGGTTGACGACTACTCGCGTTACACCACAGTCTTCCCCTTGCGCAGCAAGGGTGATGTCACTGAGGTGTTGATCGACTGGATCCGCGCAGCTCGTCTCCAACTCAGGCAGAGCTTCGGCTCGGACTTTCCTTTTCTGCGTCTGCACTCTGACCGAGGCGGAGAGTTCTCCTCTGGCCTTCTGCGAGCCTAATGTTGTGCACGAGGCATCCGCCAGACCTTCACGCTTCCGGACTCTCCACAGCAAAATGAGATTGCTGAGCGTCGCATTGGCATGGTCATGGACGTCGCCCGTACGTCCATGATGCATGCGGCTGCCCCCCATTTTCTGTGGCCGTTTGCGGTTCGGTACGCGGCGCATCAGATCAACCTTCACCCTAGGGTCTCCACGCCAGAGACCTCCCCAGCCTTGCTGTGGACGGGAAAGGTTGGCGATGCGTTTGCGTTCCGTGTATGGGGATCTCGGGCGTTTGTCCGCGACTTGTCTGCGGACAAGCTGTCCCCTCGTGCTGCTCCTTGCGTCTTTCTGGGTTTTCCCCCTGACGCACCAGGGTGGCAGTTCTACCACCCCACCTCTCGCCGTGTTCTGTCCTTCAAGGACGTCACGTTTGACGAGTCGGTCCCCTACTACCGCCTCTTCCCCTACCGCACTCCGTCCCTCCCCCCGCCGCTGCTCTTCCTTGTACCAGGTCCCCCTCCGGTAGACCCCCTCCCCCCTCAGGGTCCGTCCCCTTCATGTGTGTCCCAGGTACACGCAATCGAGCCTGTCGAGGTCACTGGTGACTCTGGTGCTGCTGAGGGTGCTGAGCCTGGGGGTGCTGACTCTGGGGGTACTGAGCGTGTGGGTGCTGAGCCTGGGGGTGCTGGGCCAGGGGGTGCTGAGCCTGGGGGTGCTGAGCCTGGGGGTGCTACGCCTGGGGGTACTGAGCCTGGGGGTGCTACGCCTGGAGTTTCTGTGCCTGCGGGTGCGGAGCCTCAGGGAGCTGGGCCTGCTAGTGTGGCGTCTCGCGGTACTGTGCCTGGCGGTTTGCTGGGTGCTTCGTCTCGACGGAAGCCACTCTCTCCACATGAGTTGCGCGAGTAGTTTGCCTGGCACTGGAGGCGTACTGCTGGAGCTGGAGGTTCTTCGGCTGCTGAGGGTGCTGGTGCAGCGGGTCCCGGAGGTGCTCGTGCTGGAGGTACAAGAGCTGCTGGGCCGGCGGGTGCGTATGGAGCTGGAGCTGCTGAGGGTGTTGGCGCTGAGGCTACTGCTATCGGTCCGGGCGGCGATGCTACTGGAGTTACTGGAGCAGGAGGTGCTACTGGCACTGGTGCTGCCGCTGGGGTTGGTGGTGCTGTGCCTGCTGTGTCGGGAGTCGCCGCGCGGCCTCGGCCGTACTTTGTTCCGCTCCTTCAGCACGTTCTTGGTCTCCCGCCTTCTAGTGATCCTCCTACTCCCTTAGAGTGTCCACAGCCTGTCTAATCACAGTTACAGTTACAGCCGGCCTCCCCACTACCTGCTCCTTCTTCCTACACTGGTCCTACTGGAGGTCTTGCTGAGCGTCGTGAGCCTGCGTCTCGCCCTGCGTCGCCTGTCCGTGCTGCTCGCTCTACTAATCATGGTTCGCGTCAGCGTCCTCCTCCTGTCCCTAGCACGCACCGGATGTCTCTGCGTCTGTCCATTGCTCCTCTGCGTGACCCTTTACCTTCTCCTGCTGAGTCCTCTCTTCCTGCTCTTGCCGACTCGGAGTCGGACTCTCTTCGTGCTGCCAGTCCTACTGCCACGCGTCTCCTTGCTACTGTCGTCACTGACCCTTCCTTTGAGTCCACTGCCCTAGTTGCTGAGCTAGTTGACTTTGCTGCTTGCTGTCGTCTAGACTACGCTGCTAGCCTTGTCGCTGAGTCTGAGTCAGTCTGTCCTCCGTCCGTCGGGGGTGAGTGTGCTCTTGGCACGGACGTCCTTGAGGACAGGCAGGAGGAGTTCCAGTGTCTGGCTGCTGCTTCACCTCATCTCGTGTTCGTACTGCTTACCCCTGAGGGAGACCCGGATGCACTTCACATCCCGACTCCACGCTCTTACGCTGAGGCGATAGAGGGTCCCTACTCCACTCATTGGGAGGCAGCTATGGACGCAGAGATGGCTTCCTGGAAGTCCACAGGCACCTACGTTGACGAGGTTCCCCCACCTGGGACGAACATCGTCAGTGGCATGTGGATTTTCAGGGTTAAGCGGCCGCCGGGTTCCCCGCCTGTCTTCAAGGCGAGATACGTGGCTCGTGGCTTCAGTCAGCGGCAGGGAGTTGACTACTTTCAGACTTTCTCTTCCGCCACTCTTCTGGTGCTGCTGCACATAGCCGCTCAGCGCGACTACGAGCTTCACTCTCTCGACTTCAACACTGCTTTCTTGCAGGGCAGCCTGCACGAGGAGTTCTGGCTGCGCCGCCCACTTGGCTTCACTGGGACTTTTCCTCCTGGCACCCAGTGGAGCCTCCGGCGGCCAGTCTACGGTCTCTGCCAGGCACTGCGTGAGTTGCACGATACACTAAGGACTACGCTTGCGGCTCTTGGGTTTGCTCCCTCTACTGCCGACCCGTCGCTGTTTCTGCGCACCGACACTTCTTTGCTGCCGTTCTACATCCTCGTGTACGTCGACGACTTGGTCTTTGCCACACCTGACACTACTGGACTCGCCCAAGTGAAGTCCGAGCTGCAGAAGTTACACATGTGCACAGACCTGGGTGAACTGCGCAGCTACCTTGGCTTGCAGATCACCCGGGACAGAGCACGCCGCACCATTACCCTGACTCAGTCACACATGGTGCAGCAGGTCCTTCAGCGCTTCGGCTTCACGTACTCCTCGCCTCAGGCCACTCCTCTGCCTACTCGCCACTCGCTCTCAGCTCTTCCTTTGGATGAGTCCGTAGAGTCGAGTGGCCCGTATGCAGAGCTTGTTGGCTGCCTCATGTACCTGATGACCTGCACTCGACATGACCTTGCATACCCTTTTAGCATTCTAGCATGCTATGTTGCTCCTGGGAGACACAGACCGGAGCACATGGCTGCAGCGAAGAGGGTGTTGCGCTACTTGTGCAGTACGTCGGGCATGGGGCTTGTGCTTGGAGGGCGGAGTCCAGTGGTCCTCACTGGGCACGCAGACGCTTCTTGGGCAGACGACCCGGCTACGCAGCGGTCGTCACTGGGTTACACCTTCAGCCTTGGTTCCGGCTCTGTTTTGTGGCGGGCTGCCCGCTCTTCTTCTGTTCTCGGCTCCAGTTGTGAGGCTGAGATCTACGCCGGGGCCATGGCTGCACAGGAGCTTTGCTGGCTCACCTACCTGCTGACTGACCTTGGCGAGGTGCCTCGTTCTCCTCCAGTGCTGTACGTAGACAACAAGGCCATGCTGGCCTTGTGTCGAGAGCAGAGACTGCAGCACTGAACGAAGCACATTGCTCTTTGCTACTTCCTTGCTCGTGAGCTGCAGCAGCGTGGTCAGCTGAGGCCAACACTGCTGATATCTTCACCAAGGCACTTGCGCCTTGTGATGATCAGCGTATTCTGTACTCAGCTTGGTCTTTTGCATGTCTTGCCTCACTTGCTCACCTCTTGACCTTGCTTGTACTGTTACATATATATACCCTTGCTCTTGGTTGTCTAGTCTTCTATATATATATGTACTCCTGCATGTGAACTAGCCTTGTGGCCTTGAACTTGTGCTCGGAATGTGTGGTGACGTTGTGATCCACCCTGAGCTTGCTTTCCTCTGCTTGACTGGTCTTGTGACCCCTTGTTCTCCCCCACTTTGCCTATGGGGGTGTGTCAAATTATAATGTTGTGTAGGCTGTAGTGGGGTAGCCTATATGGGGTACACAATTCTAGGGTTGCATACTTGTATCACTTTCATTCCTTAGTCATTCATTCTCGTTTCTTCTCAAGGTGGTGTAGAGACCGTTGATGCCTGGCTCGTGCAGGTTGATCTCGCGGGGATGAGGGCTGCGGCGAACCCATGGTCGTCCGTCCGGGTGCTCCCATGCTTTCTTCTCAATGTAGGCGAACTCGAGAGGAATGAGGTCCACGAGCTCGTTGGATGATGCTTGGCAGGAAGGTACGTCAAAGTCAATGACATAGATCCCGTTGATTGAGCGGGCTCGTTCGAGATATTTGAATGATTTGGGAGGGGTGTCAGGGGGAGCGTAGGTGAGGATGAGGTCGCGAGTGGCCAAATCCGTGGTGAGAATGACACCACTGTTGCAAAATTGGGACGTAAAGTACGTCGTTGAACGAGATGTGTGTGTTGCTATCTTTTGCTTGAAGGACCACGATGCCTTGCCCATTTGCGCGCAGCTGCTTGTTGGCGACGGTGACGTAGGTTGCGGGGGCACGACTCAGGTTCGGTACATATCGCGTGGATCCCACCATGTGTTGTCCGCAGCAGCTGTCCAGGTATCAGGTGCTGTGGTTGTTGGTGTTGTTTCTGCGCAGAAGTAGCGCCACTTGCGGAGTCACCAGGGTTTCCTTGTAGCGCTTGTGGAAGAAGGGGTCTTCTTCTTCCTTCCATCCCACTGGTACGTAATGTTGGTTTTCATGTGGCGAGCTTTCCCGCAATGTGATTGGCTGATTCCAATCGTGCTCATCTTCGTCATACAGATAGCAGTGATCTTCAGTGAGGGGATTATTCCAACCCTCTTCTGGCTCATGTAGTCTTCCTTGAATCTCGTTCTCTTCGTCAGGTTCAGCAGTGCGACGTTGGCGCGTCTGTCAGAACATTATAGCTTATACTTTTGTGTAGGCTAAAGTGGGGTAGCCCATATGGGGTACAACCCAATAAGGGCTAGTACTTGTACCCAACTGTTTCATAGTTCATTCATTCCCGTTCTCATCTTCTCATGGTATCGAGCAGGTTCCCCCGTGGGAACTATGCCTAGGGCCCACCACATCGACCTTTTTTTTTCCTGCCCGAAGCGCGCTCCGCCCGAGTCGCACTTGGTCGAGCCGCCCTAGCGGCCCTTTCCCCTAGCGGCCCCGCTGCACGTCGCCTCGGCCCCGCCGCCCGTCGCTTCGGTCCCGCCGCCCGTCGTCGCGGCCCCGCCGCCCTACCTCGCGGCCCCGCCGCCCTACCTCGCGGCCCCGCCGCCCTACCTCGCGGCCCCGCCGCCCTACCTCGCGGCCCCGCCGCCCTACCTCGCGGCCTCGCCGCCCTACCTCGCAGCCCCGCCGCCCTACCTCGCGGCCCCGCCGCCCTACCTCGCGGCCCCGTCGCCCTACCTCGCGGCCCCGCAGCCCTACCTCGCGGCCCCGCCGCCCTACCTCGTGGCCCCGCCGCCCTACCTCGCGGCCCCGCCGCCCTACCTCTCGGCCCCGCCGCCCTACCTCGCGGCCCTGCCGCCCACGCGGCCCCATCGCCCTACCTCGCGGCCCCGTCGCCCTACCTTGCGGCCCCGCCGCCCTGCTCAGCGGCCTCGCCGCCCTTCTGCACCGGCCCCTACCGCCCTACTCCTGCGGACCCGCCGCCCTACTCCAGCGGCCCCGCCGCCCTACTCCTGCGGCCCCGCCACCCTACTCCTGCGGCCCCGCCGCTCTCCTCCTGCGGCCCCGCCGCCCTACTCCTGCGGCCCCACCGCCCTACTCCTTCGGCCCCGCCGCCCTACTCCTACGGACCCGCCGCCCTACTCCTGCGGCCCCGCCGCCCTACTCCTGCGGCCCCGCCGCACTACTCCTGCGGCCCCGCCGCCCTACTCCTACGGCCCCGCCGCCCTACTCCTGCGGCCCCGCCGCCCTACTCAACGGCCCCGCCACCGTTCACCAGCGGCCCTGCCGCCCTACACCGCCCGCGCCGCCCGAGCTGCCACAACAGCCCGAGCCGCCCGAGCCACCCAAGCTGCCCGAGTCGCCCGAGCCGCCCGAGCCGCCTGAGCCACCCGAGCTGCCCGAGCCGCCCGAGCCGCCCGAGCCGCGCGAGCCGCCTGAGCCGCCTGATCAGCCGAGTCGCCGGTGCCGCGGAGCCGCAGTCGCTACTGAGCCGTTCGAGCAGCCGTGTTGCCGTGTTACTGCACTACTGAGCTGTCCGACTTGCCCTGTCTGGTGAGACCAGCGCTTCTGTCACTGCACTGCCCCTGTCCTACAGTTGGTCTCGCTAGTCTACTGCTTTCATGGCTTCCCCTAGTGTTCTCGCTTTTGACGCTGAGGGTCGAGCCATTGACTTTGAGGTTTGGGTAGATGAATTGCAGCTCTTCTTACAGTGCGATAGGGCAGACGGTCTCTCCCTCTTTGACCTCACCTTTGGCGCCTCTCCTGCCCCTGCTGCTGATGCTGACCCCATTGTTTGCTCCCAGTGGGCCACGCGCGATGCTGCTGCACGTCTTGCTGTGCGTCGCCACCTGCCTACCTCTGAGCGCGCGCACTTTAGTCAGTACAAGAGTGCTCACACCTTATACGACGCTGTAGTTGCGCGCTACTCTTCCCCTGCCACTGCTGCACTGAGCCGCCTTATGCTACCGTACCTCTTCCCTGACCTTGCTGCCTTTCCCAAAGTCGCTGACCTCGTTACGCACCTCCGCACTAGTGACACTCGCTACCACGCCGCACTTCCTGCTGAGTTCTGCGCCAAGAATCCCCCCCCCATGTACATCACTCTCTATTATATAGTCACTCGCCTCCCTGACTCCCTTTGCGTAGTCAGGGACCACTTCCTCTCAGTCTGTCCCACCACTCTCACTGTTGACCTCCTCGAGAAGGCCCTCCTAGCAGCGGAGAAGAGCATAGTCGCTGTAGGAGCCTCTCGTGGTGACCCTCGCACCCCCATCTTTGAGGGGTGTTCCCCTTCCCCCGTGTTGCCCTCTGTCGCCTCTGCTGCTGAGGCCGACCTCGTTGGTCTTGAGTCGGTCGGTGCGGCGTCTGTCCCTAGCGGGAGACGCCGCTCTAGCAAGGGCAAGGGGGGCAAGGGCACGGGTGGGGCTAGCGGGGGTGGTGGAGGTGGCGGTGGGGGCGACGGGGGGAGTGGGGGTGGCGGTGGGAGTGGTGGCGGGGGTGGAGGTGGCGGTGGCAGCGGCGGAGGCGGCGGTGGCGGTAGCGGTGGGAGCGGAGGTGGCGGTGGCGGCGGAGGTGGAGGCGGCGGTGGTGGAGGAGGTGGAGCTGGTCGGGGTGGCACTTCTCAGCGGAGCGGCACCGGGAGTGGTCAGCGCCACCAGCAGCAGCAGCAGCAGCAGCAGCGTTCTCGGGACATCCCCCCTCCTCAGCAGCTCCGTGAGTGGTACACGCAGCGTCCGCGTGGTGGAGGTTTTGGCCTGTGCACGGGACAAGCCCGTGCACCTACGTCCTCCGCTCCAGCGACCGCGCGGGTGAGCAGTGTGGGGGTGCTCACCCCACCCAGCACTGCTTTGGCCGCCTAACGGACGCTTGGCGTCAGCAGTTTCCGGAGGCTAGTGAGATCCCCCGCTGGGGAGAGCTGTCTAGGGCAGGCATAGCTATCTTTGATCTTGACTTTGATGCTATCCTTGCTGCCATGTATGCTGTGACTATTAGTGATGAGGGTGACTGTTACCGGTGTTTCCCGCCCGACCCGGGCATTGGTACTGCTGCTCTAGGTACTGGTGAGGCTGCTGCTCTAGGTGCCAGTGCGTCCGCGCCCTAAGGTGCTGGTGAGTCTGCGCTCTCAGGTACCACGTCGGATTCGGCCTCCCTCACCTTCACACTTGACTCAGGGGCTTCTCGCTCCTTCTTTCGAGACCGCACCACACTCACGCGGCTTGGTCGGCCAGTTGCAGTCTCCCTGGCAGACCCCTCTGGGGGTCCTGTCTTCTCTCACTTCTCCACTGTCCTCCCGTGTCCGGCTGCCCCCTCTAGCACCTTGTCTGGTCTTTACCTCCCCTCGTTCTCTACAAACTTGGTGAGTGGTGCTGAGCTGCAGGATACGGGGGTTCACTAGTTCACTCCTTCGAGTCAGCGGGTGACCCACTGCTCGGACGCTCGGACAGGCCGACACCTGGCCACGTTTACATGTCGGCCGGGGTTGAGCCTGTACACACTGACCACTGAGTCTCCTCCAGTCACTGCGTCTGTTAGGGTAGCTGCGTCGGGTCAGGTGTTTGCTGCAGCGTCCAGGTCTGGTCCTGAGTCTGCCCCCTGCTTGTGTCACCTCCTATCTCACGAGACTCTCCTCTGGCACCACCGTCTTGGTCACCCCTCCCTGCCTCGTCTCCGAGGCATGGCTTCCCGTGTCCTTGTCTCTGGTCTTCCCCGGTCCCTCCCTCCCCTTCCTCCGGGGCCTGGTCCTTCGTGTGTCCCCTGTGTCGAGGGGTGGCTCCGAGCTGCCCCTCACTCCTCTCAGTTTCCCCCGACAGAGGCCCTGCTGCAGACTCTTCACATGGACGTGTGGGGCCCGGCCCACGTCCGTGGACAGGGTCACGAGCGCTACTTCGTGCTGGTGGTTGACGACTACTC